ACGTCTGTGACATTTCTTAGCTCTTTGGCCTCGCAGGAAAACCCGGCTCGCGTGCAAGCCAACACCGATTTGTTCCCAATGAATCCGCCACTGTTTGGACAAGAAACAAAAATAGCACAAGGTCAATGTTAACTTAAAAACAATGCCCACATGGGTGAGGGGTCCACAGTGAACCTGAAACTAGAGAATGCCAGGTCATTGCTACCAGTGACCCGGCTTTCAAAACAGTCATTAATTCGCGTTCCCTGCGTGCACGCCCAGTTTCCTCCATTCCATCTCGGATGAGAACGCAAAGCCACACCAGCGAAGTGTCCGGCCCTACACAGGCAATTCCAGACGTCCGAACCTTCCTCCTCGCCCCTGAACAGAACGGGCAAGTCCCGACTCCCGGTAAGGAATGCTGTCGGCCTGGGAGGCACCGCTTGGCTCCCTGCGTGACCATTGCTCTCTGCAGTGACCGGTCAGGGCCCAGTGCGCAGCAAACCGCGGCCACCCTCGCGTGGAGCCAACATGCTGATTATTAGTGGAGCCTCGCTGCGTGTTCTTTCCCGAGTGATTTGTTAAAGAAGTCTAAGCCAACTGCAATCTAAGAAAAGGAAAAATGATTTTTTAAAATCAGGGTGCTATAAAGCGAAACGGAGTTTATATATTCCAATAACAATGCCGAGCGTAAGTTTCAATGTTCCTGAGTAGGCGTTTTAATTTGCTACAGTCACCACCAATAAAAACGGCATGTAGCGCGATTCCGCTGTTAACTAGTGCAAGGGAGCCGGCTGTTATTAGAAACAGGCAGCAATATGGAAAATTGAGATCAAGGTGGAAGAGTATAATTGCTGGGGGGGGGGCGGGGGCGGTCCTACGCACCGCGGGAAAGAGACTGACTTCCCCACCCAGCAGCTTGAGCTAAAGAAGGCAGAAGGGCAGCGTTTCCTGTGATGCCCCCTGGACAACAGGGGAACCCTCCAACATCACGTGGACTTGTCTGATTATACGTTTAATTGATGTCAAAATCCAGTGTGTCCAGAGCAGCCGCTCCACTCCAAATTGTGGCTGTTTTTGTCGTAACTGGCTGTTTTCTGTTCCTTCTCTGGCAGAGAACCGGCCCCGGGGGGGGGGGGGGGGGACCAGCCCCATATGTAAATGAACCACAGCAGGAGCTGCTCTTCAGATATGGAAATACCGGAGGCCATTCAGCCTTGGTGGCAAAAATCACACCCGCGTTTTTCACTGAAATTATTCTGATTGGAAACGACCCCGAAACACTGCCATCTGAGCTGTCGCTGTATGTTTGTTATCCAACGCGTGTGTCTCACTTAGAGCTTCCTCCTGGCCGACTTCCTTGCAAGGAAGACCAAACAAGCCATGGATCCCGGCAGTGACAGACACCCTAGAGCTGCCAGGTCCTTCTCGCTCTTTGCTTGCGTTTCTTTTCTTATAAACTCTGCAACAACTGATAGAAAATACTTGCCCCGGAGGAAATGAGGGTGTTCAGGCGGGATGGCAGCATTGGTGCATCCCCACTGGGGCCTGGTGGAGCCCCAGAGCGCCTGGAGGGGAGCGTTGTGCCTGTGGGGTGAAGAGCGGGTGTGTGAAAGTATGGGGCGTCTAGGTAGCAGGTGAGAGGTGTGTGTGTGGGAGGGAGTTGTATATGGGGGTGGTGTGGAGGGCGATGTGTGTGGAGGGTGGTTGGGGGGTTTGTGCCAAGGGGCAGGGCTGTCAGTGCAGCAGTGGGTGGGAGGTCTGGTTGGGGCAGGTGGTTAAGGGGTGCGGGGTGGGGGGGCGTTCAAAGGCAAAGTGCCTGGATCTCACCTATCTGAGACGTCAAGCTCAGAGTAGGCCCTTCGCAAGCACAAAGTGTCTTTTGCCACCCAGCCAAAGGACCTCTGAAGGGGCAAGCGCCACCTGGCTGGGCCGCCGCCCCACACTCGCCCCGCACCCCAGCGGCGCCTGGCAGAGCAGCTGCGCGGGCCACGCACAGCGTCCGCAAGACTTCCACGCCAATGCGGTACCCGAGGCCTCCCCACGAGTTGCGGGGGACGGTGTGTGAGGAACAGCGGACTCAGTCCCGCCTGGCCCCTGGCCTACCGGCCCTGGCTCCGCGCCGCGCTCCCCCTCCCGGGCCCCCATGGCCTTGGCTTCGGAAGACCCGGGAAACGCCCCTTGGGTGTGCCTCGCCCCGCCCCGCCCTGCCCTGGCCCGCACCTACCCATCTCCCCAGAGACACCCGAAATGCCCCCAGCGTGGACCCTTCGGGCCTGCTCATCAGACACCCTCCTCTGCTGGCCCCCCGGAACGGGCAGTGTTGGAAGAGAGTGAGGGAGATTTGGGGGAACCTGGATCCCAAAGTCTGTAGCTAAGCCTCACGCCTCCGGGCCCTGCGAGGCGCACCCCCGGACTACGTGTTACCTAAGCTACCTGAGCTGCTGAATTCGCACCTGCCACCTGCCCGCTGCCTTCTGGTTCCTGCCCGAGATGGCAGCCAGACGCGGTGTGTCCGGGAACAGTCATGTCCCCGAGTGTGTTGTCAACAACAAGAATCCAGAAAGAGAGTCATCTTATTAAAAATAAATTAAGTTGAAGGAAAGCGCTGCGGGAAGACCTTTTCCTGGTGCCGCGCGAGTTGGCGTGTGCGGTAAGACGCTTGCCACAGCGGAGACTCCCACCCACAGCGACCGTGGGTCGCCTCTGCGGACTCCGGGCAGACGGCTCACCTCAGGGCCCTCCAGGCAGTTCTCAGCGAAGGCGCCCAGGATCCGCGGCCTGTGGGGACACGCTCCGCGGCGCGGGACCGCAGGCCAGGCAACCGGACTCGCAGCCAAGCGGGGAGCCTCTGGGCCGCAAAGTGGAGCAGGCCGAGGAAGGTGGAAGCGAAAGGCACGTACGCCACCCCAAGGTGGACCGGGCCGCGTGCCACGGTCCTGCTCCCCTCCTCCCGCGGCTCCTGGCCAGGCACTGGGGTGGGGGGGCAGACACCGGGGCTGACCTCTTCGGGCGGGAAGGGGAGCACAGGCGTATGTCTCCCAAGGGGACCCACACGAGCTCCACTGCGGCGGCCTCTCCCTAGTCGGTGAGGGGGAGTGGCGGCAGGGGGCGGTGGAAGTGGCCAGAGCAACAGGGGTACTTGAGAGGGGGGACCGCCCTGCGCCCGGTGGGAGA